ATCTTTCACGTAGGAAATGGTGACTTGTCCAGCCACTTGGAGCAGCGAGGCTGAGCTGCACCTGCCAGAACTTTGTCTTCCCTTTATATCACGTTCCCTAAACAGTTTGGGAAATGCAGCTCTCACTGCTCTAATGAATGGCCACAAACCAGGCAGGCACTCTTCACATTGAAAATTTATTATTTTTAGTGACATGAAGCTCATAATTTCAATGCAGAAGTCCCCAAACTAAAATCAAGCTGTACCCAGGAATAGTTCACTTCTGAAGGCTCTTGGACAATCAATTACCTGTCTTTTTCGGTGTCCAGTGGCTTCCTACATCCCTTTCCTGTTGGCCCCCTTTCTCCACCTTCAGAGCCAGCAAGTGCCATGGGAGTCTTCCTAACCTTGTACCTCTCCTACCCTCTGTTCTTCATCCAGTTTGTTGTTGTTGTTGTTGTTGTTCTCAGGGCTAGCAGGCATGTGATTGGTGGGTTGATGAGGATCAAAGAGGGTGATTGCCTCATCTAAGGAGCCTCCACTTGGTCATATGTACATATGTACAGGAAGTAGCATGTTCACCTGTACCAGAGAGGCAAGTGCTTTAGGAAGGCCATCCTTCTGTCTGTCACACCCATTCAGTAGCCGAGAGAGGGTTTCCTGGAGAACAGCGGGCTGTGGCAATGAGGATAGATGTAGCCTGACTTTCAGAGTCCCTGAGACCCAGTGTATTTCTTGATGCTGGCTGGCCTTTGCCCAGGCTGCTGTGGATGAGGCCCTTCCATCCCATGCTGAGAGCTCTATCCAGAGGACCCCACTCTCAGGTCCTTTCTCCTTTACCAATCCACTCCTGTTGTAAGCATGGGCGATGACAGGAAGCAGTCCTGGGTGTTTGTCCTTTATAGCCCCAGTGAAGATGCCATGGTCCTGGATGAACTGGAATGTACAGCATCTGCCCCTCAGCAGTTAAAACCCCTTCTGGAGGCCAGTACCATGGCAGGCTATGCCTCTGCCTGCAATGCTGGCATCCCATTGGGCACCAGTTCTAGGCCTGGCTGCTCCACTTCTGATCTAGCTCCCTGTTAATGCACATCGGAAAGTAGTAGAGCATGGTTTAAGTGCTCGAGTCCTTTAACAATGTGAGTGACCTGAAAGATTCTCCCAGCTTCTGGGTTCAGACTTGCCCAGCCCCAGCCGTTGTAGATTTTGGGGGAATAAACCAGCAGATGGAGTATTGTTTATATCTTTACCTCTTCTTCTCTCTCTGCAACTCTGCCTTTCTTTCTTTTTTAGAAAAAAAAATTATTGGAAAGGCAGATATAGAGAAAGGAGGAGACACAGAGAGGAAGATCGATTCACTCCCCAAGTGGCCACAATGGCCCCAAGTGGCCACAATCAGAGCTGAGCCTTTCTGAAACCAGGAACCAGGAGCCTCTTCCAGTTCTCCCATGTGGGTGCAGGGTCCCAAGGCTTTGGGCCATCTTAGACTACCTTCCCAGGCCACAAGCAGGGAGCTAAATGGGAAGCAAGGCCTCCAGTATTAGAACCAGTATTCACATGGGATCCCAGCGAGCAAAAGGCAAAGTCTTTAGCTATTAGGCTACCATGCTAGGCTGTCTCTTTGTCTCTCTCTTTTTTTAAGATTTATGTTTTTATCGGAAAGTCTTATCAGATTCACAGGGAGACAAACAGAGAATCATTTTCTATCTGCTGGTTCACTATCCAAAGCCCACAGTGGCCAGAGTGCATTCAGTCTGAGGTCAGGAACAGGGCGGGCTGTGGCAAGGAGAACAGGCTCTTGCACATGGGTGCTGGGTCATCCTCTATTGCTTTTCCAGGACACAAGCAGAGAGCTGAATGAGACCTGGAGCAGCTAGGATACTCTCAGGTGACAATATAGTATCCCTGCTCTTGCAAATGAGGATTTAGACATTAAACCATCCCACACACCCTGTATCTTTGTTTTGAAAAATAAACAAGTTCATCATCATCATCATCATCATCATCATAGTAATAATAATAAGCTGACAACAATGATTCTTTGAAAAAGGATGATGGCAGGCTGGGCTGGCACAGTGACTTGATGGCAAAATTCTCACCTTGCAAGTGCAGGGTGCCATATGTGTGTCAGATTGTGAACCAGCTACTCCAATTCTCTTTCAGCCCCCTACTTGTGGCCTGGAAAAGTGCTAGAGGAGACCTCAAAGCCTTGCAACCCTGCACCTGTCTGGGAGACCTGGAAAAAGATCCTGGCTCCATTTTTTAGATAGTCTCAACTCTGGTCATAGCGGTCATAGGAAGTGAGTCAGTGGATGGAAGAACTCTGTCGTTTCTTCCCTCCATAAATGTTTGATTTCAATAATAATAATAATAATAATAATAATAATAATAATAATAATAATTTTAAACTAAAAAGCAGTTTGCTGCTTTTGTTAGGACATTTAGAAAAATAAACATTACTGTATAAATAGTTATCTATCTAAGAGAAAGAGGGAGAAATCTTCTGCTCATCTATTTGCTCTTCAAAGGACCTCAACAGCAAGGACAGGGCCAGGGTGAAGCCAGGAGCTTCTTCCAGGCCTCTCACATGGGTACAGGGTCCCAAATACTTGGGATGATTTCTGCCTCATTCCCTGGCCATTAGCAGTGAACTGGATTACTAGCGGAGCAGCTGTCTTGAACTAACATACACATGGGATGCTGGCAGTGCTGGTTATGTTTGAACCCATTAAGCCACAATGCTGGCTCCTAGAAGAAAAAATATTAATGACCTTCTAGTCTGAATGGCTAACATCCCAGTTGTTTGCCGCTCCCTGCTGCAAGATCACAGCCAGGGTGGGACTAAGATGTACTTCCTCAATCAATTGTCAACACTGTGACTGTTCACAGATAGCCTTGCTGCTGTTGAATGGGCTTAGAGGTCTGCTGTGTTCAAGCCTGACTCAGGGCACACACGCATGCACACAGCAGAAGCACACAGTCTGGACCCACACAGAGGTATGGAGGAAGTTGCCAGTCTGTGGTCAGGTTTCAACCTAAGCCTGATGAAGCTGAATCAATTTTGCTACTGATTCTCCAACCAGACTCAATGAGTTCAGCAGACACATGGCTTCAAGACACACAGGACATCACGAGGACACAGGTACCCATCAGCAGAATGGCTAAGGGTAGATGAATGCAGACCAGGCCTGTTGGGTAGCCAAGGTGATAATAGAGTGCCTTGTAGCTCACCCCAGTTCCATGGGGGTACCCCCTGTAGACACCTCGGGAAAGAAGAAGCATGTGAGGACACATTCTCACTGATTGTATTTAAAAATTTTCCACTTACATATTTACACTTTGTATGAAAGGCAGAATGGTAGAAGGAGAGAAAGAATGGTTCATTGTTCTTAACTGATTCCACTCTCAAATGTTTGTAAGCACCATGGCTTGGCTTGAAGTCAGGAGCCTGGAATTTAATACAATTCTCCTAAGCAGGTGGCAGGGACCAGGTTCCTGCACCACTGTCTGCCCTAGCCCAGGATGAGCATCATCAAAAAGGCTAGAAAGGAATCAGAGTAGCTGGGACTCAAACAGGGCAATCTGCTGGTAAGGGCCACTTAGCTACTGTGTGACCCCTACCCTCCTCTCCCCACAACTGGTCCTGTGTTGGACACACACATGCTAGCAGCTTGATTTTGATGCTGTGGGGATAGCAAGGTCACTTTCACTAGTGCAGCAGAGCCTGTAAACAACTGCAGAGATGTCTAAGGAAAGAGTGGGCCAAAGCCAGGAAACACTCACAGTGCTGGCTGCCATGCCCTTCAGTGGCTTTTCTGAAAATGGCCTGGTGATAGTGATGCAACAGGCAGCCCAGACACAGAGAGGATCCTCCATGCTGGAAGGTGCTGACAGATGCTCTCCTCCAATGGACACACCCCAAACAGAACACTCTTGCACACTTGTACATATGCACACCCAGGCAGCCCTGCCTCTTCTCAAATATTACCCTGTGCTGACAAGTGTATCACCCACCACATTGGTCTCCTTCTCTGGGGCCAGCTGTGAAAGCCTTCCCAGGGCCTGCTACAGACCAGCAGCAACATGGGCTGTTACTCTGTGGTTTGGACTTTTTCTTCTCTAGCCGCCAGGAGGCTCTGGGGGAGGCAGGTGTTGCCCACAAAACCATCTTCTGTTTTTGCTTTTTATTTCACCTCCCTCTGGTGTCAGTTCCTACTGCAGTCCCTGGATAGAGGGCCTGGGTAAACACTTTGTGAGGGGTAGTATCTTGAAAATCAAAAGTCCTGGAAACACTTGGGGACCTGCTGCCCAAAAGGCCCTCCTTGGCCCTTTCCTGGTCTCTTCTGCGTCACTCAGTCAGGCCCTCACTACTCACATGGTCCTGTCAGGCCTTGGCATCCTCTCCATCCTCACAAAACTTGGCTTCCGCTCAGAGCTGAGTAAGTACAAAGCAGGAAGACCTGGGATTTGTAGCAGAAGAATGTTTCTAGAAACACAAGACTGAGGAAATAAGAAAATCTTGGGTGCCTTGGAGTCTGCATGCTTAGCACCCAGGCCTTCCCTTGGTTCAAGCTTCAGCAGATTAGGAGGCTGTGGCCCTTGGTAATTACTATGCACCTGCTCCCTGATCCAACCATCAGGGAATTGTGCCCAGTGATGCCAAGGGCGTGCCAGGATGTTATGGAGGAAGGGCTAGAGGACCCCAGGTGTGGTCATTGTACAGCTGAGGGGCAGGAAGACACTGTGAGGAGGAGAGGAGGGTGGCAGGCAGTGCTGTCCCACCATTGGGAATCCATGTAATTCCTTCCAACCCATTTAATTCCCCCTGGAAGGTCTTTGGAGTGGGCGCCTATGTATTGCACCTTACGTGTTCGTTTTCAAAGTCCCTGAGTGGTAATGTAGGTAGATGTGAGTCCCATCAGAGGAATCCCTTATAGAATCACATCTGCTTGGATTCCCAGGATGCTCGGGGGCTAGGCTTTCATGCCAGGACCCCACACCAGTTGGGTGGCAGGGAGGATAGGGCTTCACCCTGGATTAAAAACAGAGTTGAGTGTCTGGGGTCCTTTGGTCCCCAGAGAGCAGCAACTACTTGTACACACACACACACCCCCCACATGCCAAACAGTGCAGTGCTGGTCAGACACAGAGGAGCCCCTGGGCCCAGCCCTGCCACAGCGGCTTTGGGGAGGTCGAGCTTAGATATCCAGCTGTCCTGCCCTGGGATCTGGCTGTAGTGTTCCTCTGCCCTGTAGCTGGGGCAAGGATGCCTCTGCTTCATCAAGCCCCTCTGTTGGAGATGTGCTCCCATCTTCCGCTTTTGTGACTCAAGTCACAGGGTCAAGTGCTGAGGGGTGTGGCCACAGAGGGAACTCAGAGCTCTAGAGTGAGCAGGGTGGGAAAGGGAAGAGGCTTAGGTGAGTAAGCAGGGGGAGGTGAAGGTGTAGGCGCTGCCAAGGAACATGGCAGAGTCCATCATCTATGCAGACTTGTGGTTTGTGAAGACTCCTCTGAGAAAGAACAACTCCAACCCAGGAGAGGGTAAGGGTACCTGCAGCCACTTCATTCCCTGAGCCCACCGAACCTCAACCTACAACCCGACCACCATGGGGTCTCTCCTCTCCTCTCCGTCCCTCCTCTCCCCTCCCCTTTATTTCCACTCCACTCCCCTCTTCTCTACTCTCTTTTCTCCTCTCCTCTCCTCTCTTAGAGTCTGACAAGGATGGGAAGCTTACCTACGAGAACATGGAGGCACTTTCAGACCCAGAGGCACCCACCAGCCTGGCGCTGGCTATTGGACCAGAGGACGAAACAGGTATGATGAGCCCAGAGACTGTGTGCGTGTGTGTGTGTGTGTGTGTGTGTGTGTGTGTGTGTGTGTGTGTGTGTGTGTGCTGTGTGCTGTGTCTGCAGCAGTGGAGTCCCCAGTGGTCTCCAGAGAATGTTACTCTGGGGAGGGAGGGGAGAAGAGGAGCAACAGATGGAGCAGGTGCCAGCATGGCCCTAAGGCAAGTGCAGTCCCATTGGGGGCTTGGCAGGGGCTGGGACACCTCTAGGGGACTGAGTTGGAATGCGGAACAGGGAGCCACAGAGTGGGCAAGGAGATGAGATGAGGAAGGTAGATACTAGATAGTGTTCAGTAAGGAGAACTGGGGCTCAACCCCTTCCCACAACAAGGAAACCATAAAGGGAATCCAAAACAGCCATGATGGGATTCCCAGAAACGATCACAGATGGTACATGGCAAGAGCCCTGAGGCGACCAGGAGCCCCATGGGCGATGAGGGCATTTCATACTAGTTGCAGATGGAAGACAAGAGCAAGGCCACAGGGAAGGAGGCTCTGGAGGGAGGCACAGCCCAGGATTTGGCCATGACCACCTCCATTCCCTTTCCAGCATTCCACATGGAACAGCCAGCCAGGACTTGGAGCAGTGCCACAGCCCCAGATGCTGAGCAAATACTCCCCTGTGAGTATTTGTGAGTACTGTCCCCTTGTCAGTGCCATTACCAGCCATGTGGGACTCCAGGGAGAGAGAGAGGGTCATGGACACAACAAGTGGACATAACCCTGCAGTGTGCCTTGCTGGAGATGAACCTTCCTGCTATGACCTCAGGAGCAAACCACACCCCTAGCATTTCTCAATTCTTATCCCTCCGACCCATTTCCTCTCTCTGCTGAGCATTAGCTCTCTTTGATACGAGGCAGTGACCTTTTGATCTGGCTAACCATCAACAATCCCAAGTTCTTACTCTGGAACATTCTTTCTCTCTTTTCCTCCAAATTGTCCCACCACCCAGGAAAGCCAGCCACTGCCCACCCTCTTACCTGTGCAATCATCTCCTAGGGATGATTTCTCCAGGAAAGCCTTGTACCAGCCCCTCACTTTTCCTCCCTCCTTCTGTGAAGGTCATGGCCACCCCTACCGCTCACAGTACCTCCTCCTGGGATTGCTCCTCACCTGCCTGCTGCTGGCGGTGGCTGCCATCTGGTTGGGCATGCAATGTGAGTATGGCTGACCCTGGCTCTCTCATTGCCACAATCCGCCTCATCCTCTGGTCTCTCCACCATCAGGTACCCTTGCTCAGTGTACCCCACAGTGATGTCTCATCAACCCTCAGTTTTGGGGGACTACTTCCCAGCCCAGTCTACTCACAAGCACCTTGTCTTTCCCTAATAACCAAGTTATTAGGCATCAGATGTCATAAATCTGTCCAGTGGTTCAGAAATTTACAAGACAGAGAATAGGGGGTTGACTGCACTGTGTTGTGGCTCCAGGGTACCATTTCAGAGTGCTTCACACCCCCCCACCTCAACTGCTGTGTCTGCCCAGATCTGCAGGTAACTCAGCAGTTTGGGCAGATGAGCAGGCTACTGGAAACCTCCAACAGCAGCCTTCAGGAACAGCTCCACCTCGGAACTGCCCAAATGAGACAGAGGGAAAAGGACCTGCAAGACTCCAAGGAACAGCTGGCCCAGAACGAGAGAGCACTAGAGGAGGAACAGGGGGTACACCAGGCTGCTGAGGAGCAGCTACAGCTCTGCCAGGCAAACAGGACGAAGATGCAAGAGAACTTGCACACACTGCAGCGGAAGCTGAGCCACCTGCAGGACACAGTGAGGCCCTTCTTCACCTGCCCCTCACAAGGTACCTGCTGTGGACACTAGGGGGACTGAAAAGGCTAGTTAGCCATGAGGAAGCCAGATGAAGGAGCAACAGGAACAGGTGTCTGTCTAGGAGCATTCAGGAGGCAGCAAGCTGTCCAGGAAAAGGGCATTGAAGCAGACTGGGCTCAAGAGCCAAGCTGGCTGGCAGGGAGAAGGATGAAGTTTCACAATGCATCTAGGGGCACTCCCTTATGTCCAGGGCTGGCAGCCTGCAGTTCTAATCAATTTCACCCCATAGATAACAACAGTCATCTGGAACCCTAGACATTTGTATGTGGAGTTGGTTCACTTGGTTTCAAGAACACAGTTTACTTGGTCCTTGTTCCTGTGGGGACCACCTGAAGAGGAAGAATCACTGGCTGCTCCAGGTGCAGGCCAGTAGAGGGCAAGGTGGCTGAGGTCCACGTGCAGCCATGACAGGGAGGTGGGTGAGTTGGAGGGTTGTGGGCTTAGCGTATAGCAGACCCCTACTCCATTTATGTCTGTCTACTTTGAAAGCAGAGATGGAGAAGGGACCCATGGAAGGGAAAGGACAGGCCAAAGCAAGCTTGGGTGCTAGGGAAGATGGCTGCAAGCATGTCTTGAGAGTGTGGTCAGGGTTAGGTTCTGTCTGTATGAGGGTGAAGGAAGAGTGAGCACATACCCCCCAATTGTCATTTCCTGAATCTTCTACTGCTCTGTGCTGTGAGGTCCCACCCCAGGGCTGCCCCCACCCACCCTCCCAACACCCATTCCCAGAGCATCCTTGACTGCTTCTTCATTGAAAGAACAACTCTGAATGTCTACATTGATGACAGCTTCTTCCACCCTGCACCTCTGCCACCTTACAAAGGCCTGCTCATGCCATCCCAGTATATAACGCTTTGTTCTAATTGATTGCTCACAGTTAAGAAAATCCATATGACAATGATTTGGATGTGTGGTAGGGATGTTTTAGGGAGAAAAAGAGATGAATGAATGAATGAGATACCCAATGGATGGTTATGGGGCCAACTGAGATTGGGTAAAGTTCCGGGTATACTACAAGGTGTTCAGCTGTAGATACTGGTCCTGTGGGAACTCCTAGTGTGTGAGGAAGTCATGCTACTGCCTGGGAAGGCCTTTTGCTGAGTACAAATAGACATGGCATTTTCCATGGTGGAGGGGGCAGAGCAGGGCTGAGGAGGATTGCAGAGGTCAAAGGCCAGAAGTCCACAAGAGTAATGGTCTTGGACACAGGGCTTGGTTAGTAGTCAGCCTGTGAGGGCATCATTATTCCCAGGCTGTGCTACCATCACTCTCTCCCTCCTTTCTAGGCACCTGCTGTATGGTGGGCTGGATACTGATTCAAAGAAGATGCTTTCACATCTCACTCACTAAGAGAGATTGGCAGGAAAGCTGGGAGTATTGCAAATCTCTGTCATCTGACCTGACCACAGTCACAGACAATCCTTGGAGTTATTCCTATTCAGAAGTAAGTAAGCTGAAGTGGGTTAATTGGACTGAAACGCATCATTGTTTTGGTTTTGACAGCACATGCATGCCGGCCAGCATGCCCTGGCAGACACAGACAGTCATGATCCCTCACCCTGAGTAGCCTGCAGCACAGTGCTGTGGGTGGTGGCCCCTCCTTGCCAGCCAGTGCTGGCAGGAACTCTTAGCTGGCTGAGATGTGACCCTTGATACCACAGGGCCCATTCACCCATTGGTGGTCAGTACCAGAGGGAAGCTCATCCCTGTCGCCCAAAGTCCTCATGCTGTAGTGTGTTTTCATCCACACACCTGTGCTGTCTGAATCTCCCCTCAGATTTTTCCCTGGAAGAGCTTATTGTCGCAGTTTTCTGAGGACACTTCATATTGGGTTGGCCACGGCTTAAACAAGGACCGGTGGAGACTTCCAGGGTAAGTTTGTTGGGCATTATGACTGTTTCCAGCTCTTCTCATCTCCTCGTAAAGACATACCAAGGCAACTGGCTCCTTAGGTTCTGATTCCAGAATGTTTCCGTCAGTTAGTGTTATAATTACCTATTTGTTTTCTTTTTAAGAAAGTTCTATGGGAGTCGTAAGCTTTATTCTATTCCCTAGTATCTAAAACTACTTGGCTCAGTTAAAATAAGGAAAGAGTTGCTAGGTTGGGATGCACGTTCTTATTCAGAAAGCAAAACTGAGTTTCAGCCAGGGTTTTACAGCTGATGGGAAACATGGACATTCTAACTTGCCATCCCTAGACACACCTGCCCAACTGAGGCTGGGCTGTGCCAGTCAGGGCCACTGGGGGCGCTAGAGCAGTGCCAAGGAACTAGAGCATAGGGTGAGTCCTGAGACAAGGTGGCCACTTGCTTGTGTTCCTGGGAAGCTGGAGTGTTTCTATCCTATAGACCTCGGGTAACTGGTCCTTCCCTAACCCTCCTACTTCTGAAATTGGCAGATTATCTGGAGAGCTGGGACTAGCTCATGTTTCACACAGGCCAAGGTACTGAAGGGAGGATGGATAGGGAAGGTTCAATAATCTCTTGATTGATTTCTCCACCAGCCAATGCTCCATGATAGACAGCCATTCTGTTGTGGTCCATGCTTCGCTTCTGAGGTCACAGGTGTGCAGTAACCAACTTCCTTGCATTTGTGAGATGGCATCTTTCAGGATTTCAGGCTAGGACCATTCTATGTAGAATCCAGGTAAGGATGGAGCAAGGATTGTGGTGTGACAGGTCTGGGTCAGAGGGGTGCAAGGCATGGGCCCAGATATTACAGGAACAGGGACCGGCGTGATAGCATAGTGGTTAAAGTCCTTGCCTTGCATGCACTGGGATCCTATTGGCTCTGGTTCTAACCCCCCTCGGCCCCGCTTCCCATCCAGCTCCCTGCTTGTGGCCTGGGAAATCAGTCAAGTACAGCCCAAAACCTTGGTACCCTGCACCCATGTGGGAGTCCTGGAAGAGCTTCTGGCTCCTGGCTTCTGATTGGCTTAGCTCCAGCCGTTGCGGTCGCTTGGGGAGTGAATCATTGGATGGAAGATCTTCCTCTCTGTCTCTCCTCTCTGCATATCTCCCTTTGCAATAAAAAAATAAATATTTTTTTTCATTTTTATTATATTTTTGACAATCTTTACATAGTTAATTTAGGGTAAAAAGGTTCAAGGGCCATAGGAATGTGGGTAAGACTATTATTTCCATATTTTTTCCTTCATGTATCTGAGGTAAAGGGGAATATTGAAGGAGAATCCCCTCCCCCCAGTTTCCCACCCACCCCAAGTCCTGGATGTGGGGCATGCTCTGAGATACTTGCTCAAGTGGTTTCTATAGCTCACCAGTTATGAATTGCTGCCAATCTCGCCACTCCAAGCATGATGAGGTAGTTGAAGAACCCACTGATTGACATAGTCCATCATAGAGTCTCCATTTGCCCAGTATTTCGCTGCCAACATATAGCTGAGGTGGTTGATTGACTTGTTCTGTCTTCTGTCTTTTCTTGGTTAGGGTTCTGAGTCCGGCATTTTGATTGGGGAAATCTCCAAAGAAACTTTGAGGTATTCTCAGACCAGATTCTTATGTGTTCTAGCAATGACAGGGCCCGGCACAGTCATCGCCCCAATTAGCTGATGGTTGCAATTGCTGGGTTGGTTCTGTTTTCACTCCCAACTTCCACTGGAGCCAAAAAGTGTTGCAGTCCAGCCTGGTTCTGTCCTGGTTCTGCCCAGCACATATTAGGCCCTCACATAAACCAGTGGGAGCTGCAGCCTAGTCAGAGCGACCCACAATAACCCACACCAGCCCCACCCCTACCCTGGTTTGCCAGTATGTGTAGCAAACTAGTCCAGTCTGTCCCACACCCCATTTGGCTCTTGTACATGTCGATGGGTATTGAAGCTTAGCTCCATCTAACCAGCTCAACTATCCAGCCCTCACGGTTGATGTTGAGTGCCTCTCTGTCTAGCCACCCCAGCCCCCATCCTAGTTTTTGTGCCCTCTCATGGGAGTGGTAACCCAAGAGGCCCACTATTTCCCTCCCAGGCCTCTCCCACTCCCAGATTATGCACTCTTCAGGTGGTTATGTGGTTTGATTTGACAGAATTAGCCCCCAGTGCCAGCTTCTGCCAGTTGATGCTGCAGCTAAGCCCAAGCAACCCTCACCCACTCTAATTTATGCTTGCACCAGTAGGAATAATCAGCCCAGCCTGGCTTTTCCCTGATCAAGTCCACAGAGGCCCACAGATGCTGTAGCCCTGCTTAGTCTGGTCTGGCCCCTTCCCAGCCCACGTTCTCCAGTCATAGTAGCTGTCCGGTAAGGGGACCCCTGCTTATTCCCCCTGCCAGCTCTGCCCCCTCCCTTCCTGGTTCTCACGCATGTTGGTTGGGTGCTGCGGTCACATCCGGTACAGACAACCTCACCTTGGCATTCTGTATTGTGCACTGGTTTATGTCACGACCGAACCTGGCTCAACTCACACTCTGTTCTAGTGCATGGATTTGCCAGTGGATGACGTGAACTGATTCAGCCTGGTCTGCCCCCGACCCATGCCAAATGTGTGCCAGTCAGAAACTTTTCATGGCCTATTCTGGGCTGTTTCCTATCATGCTTCTTGCGCTTACCTTTAGGGTCTGTGTCCTGCCAGAGGAGTTGCCCAGGCTCCTCCATCAGAACCCCTCCCAGTGCCAACTTTCATGCATACCAGGGGTTCCATGAGCCAGCCCTACTCAGTTCACCTCCTGTCCTAGCTGGAGCAGTGGCTTTTCCTGACTGGCCTTCAACCCAATCTTGTTCTTGCTGTTGGATGTTTCAGCCAAGCCATGGCTCGTCCATACCCATATACGGCTCACCAATGGCTCTATAGGGGTTGAGACCTAGCCTAGTCTGTCCCACATCTACTCTGGTCCTCCAGGACACCAGACGGTGTTGGGGTCTGGCCCTGCCTGGTGCATCCAGTCCCAGTCCACATTGTGCCAAGGGAGACTACAACAGTTTCCTGATTAGAACACAGCCCCCATTCCAGCCCACGCACCCCTTGGTGGGAATATCAACCCAGTTAGGGTGTCCCCTTAGCTCCCCAACTGGGCCTGTTCCCAGTCATAGATCATACCACGCATGCCAGTGGTTGCTCTGATTCAGCTTAGCTCAGCCCCTCACCAGTCCTGGCCTCTGCCTTAGTCTCCGTGGCTTAGCGTCCCTGACTCACGCAGACCAGCAGGTGCAAAAAAAAAAAAAAATTACAGGGAATTATTCTTCCCAGAGGACAGCCCATGGCTTGGTTGGGCATAACAGAAGCAAATGAAAAATGATGAAGTGGCTGTCCAGGGAGCTTTGGCCAGAGTGGAGTGGGCTAAGAAGGGGCTGGAGTGCAGCCAACTGTGGAGCTCACCGATGCTTTACTCTTGCAGGTGTTAATGGCAGAATCCTGCTGGGCCATCCCCTCTGATTGTGTCCAGCAGTGCTCAGCACATCCTCACAGTACAGTTTCCAGTGGACATCTGTCTTTCTTATAGCCAGCACATTGCCTGATTCAAATCTTCCTCCAGAAATTGGTCTGTTCCAGGGGAAAGGGGAAAGAATCTCCTAGAACGAACTCTGGGCATGGTGGTCAAGAACCTTCCCCTGTGACATGGGATGGGGGCGGGGAGGAGGGCACATGGACTGAGTGGATAAGGGCAGCCCAGAGCCAGCCAGGCAGCTTTGTTGAAATCGGTTTAATTATTACACTTGTCAGTCTTGTGTGTCCGCAGTGCTGTCTGGTTGGGTGAGCCCAGCAGAAGACCGTGCCCAAGTGTTAGTTCAGCCAGGTGCTCTGTCCCTCACATCCATGCTGAAGCTCCCTTACACGGGGGAGGAGATGGTCAGCTTGGCCGGGGCTGGCAATCTGTTCACAGATTTGTCCTGAAAGCCAAAGGCAGAGGCCCAAGAACCCCAAGACCCCACTGCTAAGAGTGTAACCCCAGCAGTGTCAGGCTGGCTGTGGGTGGCTTGGCATGGTGCCCTTGGTGGCAGAAGAGACTGCCAGCTTCTCAGTTGAAGCTGTGGTAGCAGGTGATGATTTGTTTCCAATTTTCTTTTTCTTCGTGTTGTATTTGGAGTCCAGAGGAGAGAAGGGAAGGAACCGCACCCAGCATCCTAATGCCATCATCAGTACTCAGGGCTGGGGGATGGCCACCCAATGTCATCCAAGGGTCCCCAATGTGGAGCATGCTCAGAGGCATCTGCTCAAGTGGTCTCAATAGTTCTGAAATGCTGTTAATTTCATTGCTCCAAGGATGAGAAAATCCTTCCAAGTCCATCAACTCACATAGTCCACCCTAGAGTCTCTAATCTTCCAGATACTTGTTGTAAAACCTTAGCTACTAGAGTTCTCCAATTTGTGCTGCCCTCCATCCTCTGCTGTGATACTAGATGTCCTCTGCAGGGCCCGAGTGGACTGCCATATCCTCCATGTGTATCTGGGATACCATCCACTGCGCCATGTTTAGCCACTAAAGAGGCCCAGTTCTGACTCAGGCATTGGAACGTTAGGCCACAGATTCTGCGATTCTCCCTGTGGTTGGAGTTCTGAGTCAAGTGGTTCAGCTGAGGGTGTCCACAATAGAAACCTTGTCTGAGGTGACCCCAGACATGATTCCTGTGTGTGCCAGCCAGTGTGGGCTCCAGAGGCAAAGGGATTTCCTGGGGGTCAAGGTCCCGTTTGCTCACACTGGATGGATGCCAGGGAACTCCTGGTATTGGGGGGCTGGTTCAGGCAGTGGCTCCAGGATCCACTCCAGGTGCTAGCTGATTTCACTGAAGGGAGCATGAGTACTGGGTTCCACCTGATAGGCAGATGGAGGGGTCAAAATAAGATCCAGTGGCAAGGATTTAAGAGAGTATATCCATTACATTTTGGGGATTCTACTGAATGTGTTGGTGAGGGGACCATGGCAACTCTCACAGGACAGAGAGCGTCTGTGAAGGGTGGGGTCTGTGAACCCTGGGGTCCCCTAGGAGTATCCCAAGGTGTCTGGTCAGTCCTCAGAAATGGGATATCAGGCCAGTGAATCCTGAAGCCTGCTGTGCCACAGCACCTGCCTCATCCCTTGTTTATTTCAATCCCCGAGGGTCAGAAGAGGGTGGGGAAGATGCAAGTCACAGAGCACACTTAGGGTCCAGGACTAGCTCAGCAGCAAGGGGTTGCCCCTTGGAAAGGGGTGTGGGCATATTTGGGAACAAAGTTATAGTTCCATGTGGGGGAAGACCTCCCAGTCGCATGGATAGTTTGCAACGAGCCAAAACCCCACTACCCAATGAGTGATAATTTGTGGGACAAGTGAGCTGTGATCCCTAGAATCATACGGAGTATAAAGTCCTGCTAACCGCCTCTCCCCTGAAAGTTCTGCCCATCAACTCTGCTTAAACAAGGACTCCCTCCACTTGACACTGAGGCCGTCTTCTCCATGCTCACACTTCACTACTCAATACTGACGAGCCCTGATCTTTAATCTCTGTGACCTTTGATTCCATGGCTGGAGCTGCCATTGTCCCTGCTGGTGCCGCTTGCATCCTGAGTTGCCCTTCTGTACCTCCTTTCAGCCTGTGTGAAACCACTTAACCACTACGCTATTGCACTGGGCCCCATCCTGTTTCTTTCTTTAAAAATGACAGGGTGGGCCTGGTGTGGTAGCCTAGTGGCTAAAGTCCTCACCTTACATGTGCCAGGATCTTATATGGGTGCCAGTTCATATCCCAGCGGCCCTGCTTCCCATCCAGCTCCCTGCTTGTGGCCTGAGAAAGCAGTCAAGGACAGCCCAAAGCCTTGGACCCTGCACCCACGTGGGAGACCCAGAGGGGGTGTCAGGCTTCTGGCTTCGAATTGGCTCAGCTCTGGGCCACTTAAGGAGTAAATCATCAGGTGAAAGATTTTCCTCTCCATCTCTCCTCTTTGTATATCTCACTTCCCAATAAAAAATAAATAAATCTTTAAAAAAAAAAAAACTAGCCAGGGTATGATTGACAGGTTGATGAGAATTAAACACGGCGATTTCCCCACGTAAGGAGCCTCCACTTGCTCATATGTACACATGTACAGTAAGTGGCATGGTCAGCAGCTCCAGAGCCTGGGAGGCGAGCGTTTTAGGAAGGCCGTCCTGTCTGCCACTTCTGGGCAGTAGCTGAGGGAGACTCTCCTGGAGGCTGGCAGGGTGTGGCATGAGCACAGACACAGCCAGATTTTACAATTCTGTGGATACCTCTTGGCCTTCCTGATGCTGGCTGGCCTTTCCCCAGGCTGCTGTGGATGAGCCCCTTCCATCCCATGCTAGGAGCTCTTCCCAGAGGCGCCCACTCCCAGGCCCTTTCTCCTGTGTAACTCACCAGCCCACCCCTGCAGTAAGCATGGGCGATGGCAGGAAGCAGGCCTGGGTGTTTGTCCTTTATGATCCCAGTAAGGATGCACATTCCTGGATGAGCTGGAATGTACAGCCCCATTCAGCACCTAAACTGCTTCTCAGGGCTGGTGCCATGGCATAGCAAGCTAAGCCTCTGCCTGAAATGCTGACATCCTATTTGGGCAATGGTTTGTGTCTCCTTGGCTCCACTTCTGACCTAGCTCCCTGCTAATGTGCCTGGGAAAGCAGCAGAGGATGGCTAAACTGCTTGAGTCTCTTTATCCTTGTGGGTGACCTGAAGATGTTCCTAGCTTTGGACTTCAGCCTGGCATGGCCCCAGCCATTACAGATTTGGGGGATTGAATTAGCAAATACAAGATTCTCTGTCTCTTCCCTCTCTGTAACTCTGCCTTTCAAATAAATATTTTTTTAAAACATTAAAAATAAAAATGGCAACAATCTTGCTTTTAAATAAGAATTAGCTATCTATGATAGTGCCATCATAGAAAAATATTATTTTGTAAATATTTATCTGTTAATTATTTGAAAGGTAGAGTGACTGAGAACCAATGTTGGAATTAGGTAAGGACGTGTTTAAGCACAGAGAGAATCACTAGCCAACGTGAAGTAGAGTGGGCACATTCCAGAAAATAGGAGAGGACAGGACAATGTGAGAGGGACACCTGCAGACTGACGGGCACGGAGGGGCAACGGTGGTGCTGTGGTGTTGCAGTGACCGGATGCCTCAGTGGCAGTCAGCGAGCTGTGGTCTGAACTCCCCCGGAGGCTGGAGCGCCGCCAGCAGTGAGGTGGGAAGGGGAGCTCACTGGGAGCTCAGCAGAAGCTGAGGCACCTGCAGGACACACTGAGGCCCTTCTTCACCTGCCCCTCACCAGGTACCTGCTCTGGGCATGGGGGAGCCAAAGGGGCTGGCTTGGCATGAGGGAGTCAGGTGAGTGGGCACCAGGGGCAGGGGTCTGGGGGCACTCGGGATGGGGCAAGCTGTCCAGGAAAAGGACAGTGGAGCAGAGCTGGAATTGACAAGAGCTGTAGCTGCCAGCCAACAGGGAGAAGGATGAAGCCTCACACTGGATCTAGGATCCCTTCACCTCCAACACCGTCAGCCCGCAGTGCAAATCTGGTTTAACCATGAGCAGCAGCAGCATGGTTGGGAACCTTCCCCAAGCCCCCATTTATATGTGAATTGGTCGTGCCTAGTTTCAAAGGACATGGCTTCACTTAGTCCTTGCTCCCGTGGCCACTGCCTGAGGTGAAGGTCACCAGCTGCTCCAGGTGCAGGCCCTTAGAATGCAGCGTGGCTGAAGTCCATGGGGGGCCCACACAGAGAAGTGGGTGGGTGGGAGTGTTCAGCGACTTAGAATGCAGCAGACCCCTGCTCCGCCTGCTCTATTCACTTTGAAAGCAGTGATGGGAGAAGGAATTCATGGAAGGGAAAGGCCAGGCCAAAGCAAGCTGGAATACGAAGCAAGGTGCCAGGGGCCATGGGCACGGGCATGGGCAAGGCTTAGGAGAGTGGTTAGGGTTCATTTCTGTCTGAGGGGGGAGGAAGAGTACATGCAGACAACTTAAACTGTCATTTCCTAATCTTTTGCTCCATGCTGTGGGGGTCTCATACCAGGGCTGTCCTCCATTGCCACAGCACCCCCTGCTGGTCCTTCAGTGAAAGAACAGCTGTGAATGCCTACTCTAACGCTTGCTTTTTCCACCCCACACCTCTGCCACCTCACAGAGGCCAGTGGCTCACTGGCACCTCCCCTTCCTCTGCCTGTCAGCTGCCTCCTGTCTTCACTTTCCTCCCTGCCCGTCCTGAGGTCCAGCCATCACCCAACTGCTCACTCCTTTTCCCAGTGTCTTTACTGTGCTTGATTGGCAAGATCTGGACTTTGCAGGAACCTGGCTGACCACTATACCTAGTGCTGCACCAAAGTGTGTCACATCAGGGACTGTTCTGCCTGGTGCTAATGAGACTCTGGCCACCAAGCACTGCCTGGTGCCCTAGGCGGCTTCCAGGGCAGCTCCCCAGCCTCAAACCCCAGCCTTTCCTTTGTAATTCCAGGTGCCCCATCTGTCCCAGCCCTCCATGCTCCACTGCCAAGTCTGTGGAGGCATTTAAAAATTTGCCCATTCCTATTTTTGAATTTCTTCCCTAGTCATCCTTTGATTTGGAGCTGGCAAGGTCCTTCACAAACAAAAATATGTTCATGCCATCCCAGTCTAGATTGTATCATTCTAGTTACTTGATCACAGCTAAGGAAATTGGAATCTGTAGTGGGGACTGCAAAGAGATGAATGAATGAGTGAGAAGCCTAATGGATTGGTATGGCGCCCAGGTGAGACTGAACAAAGTATGGAGGGAGATTGAAGTGGGTGTTTGGGAAAGAACCACTGGTCCTAGAGTAACTCCCGTAGTGTGAGGAA